GTAATCCCAGCACTTTGAGACACAGGCAGGAGAATGGCTTGAGTCCAGGAGTTTGAGACCAGCCTAGGCAACACAGGGAGACCTCGTCTCTACAAAAATAAAAAAATTAGCTGGATATGGTAGTGCAAGCCTATGGTCTCAGCTACTTGGGAGGCTGAGGTGGGAGAATCACTCAGGCCCAGGAGGTCAAGACTGCAGTGAGCTATAATTGCACCACTGCACTCCTGCCTGGGCCATAGAGAAAGACCCTGTCTCAAACAAACGAACAATCTCTGACACATGTAAGTAAACATTTATTGGTCTGGTCCTATCTATAAGGAATTTAATTTATATTTCAAGGAAAAAATAATAAACCTTCACAGAAGCAGGACTGTCCAGGTCAAAAACAGTAAAGTCAGTAAAATATATTTATGTGTGTGTGTAAGACAGAATATTTGTCCTTAAAGAGGGAACATCATAAACAGAGAATATTTTAATAACATTTGATAAATATCCCAAGAGCATTCACATAACTTTAAATTCATCCTTATAAAAATATCAAAATAGTTTTTAAAAAACTTTCAAGAGAAAAAAGTTTCAGATAAATACAATGGCAGAGTCTTCAAAAGAGATGGCATCACATAGATTATTAGTTCCTCCCTGAAGTTCAAGATTGGCTTTGCAAACAAAATTTGGTGCCAAAGAACTGACCTATTAGTTGTCCTCTCAGGAAGTCTTTTCATCTGGGATCTGTGGAGGTTTGCCAATTCCTAGAGTAGTGTTTCAATTCTACCAACCTCTACAAAACACAATGTTCTTAAGAGAAATAAAATCATGGCTGGGCGCAGTGGCTCACTCTTGTAATCCCAGCACTTTGGGAGGCGGGTTGATCACCTGCGGTCAGGAGTTCAAGACCGGCCTGGCCAACGTTGTGAAACCCTGTCTCTACTAAAAATACAAAAAAATTAGCCAGGCGTGGTGGCAGTGCCAGTAATCTCAAAGTGCTGGGATTACAGGCATGAGCCACCTCACCTGGCCCAATTTCAATCATATGTGGCCAACACTCAAGTCCCATAATCTCAGCTATTTGGCGGGCTGAGGCAGGAGAACTGCTGAAACCCAGGAGGCAGATGTTGCAGTGAGCCATTGCGCCATTACACTCTAGCCCAGGCAACAAAAAAAAAAAACCATCTCAAAAAAAAAAAAAAAAAAAAAAAAAAAAAAAGGAAAATAAAAAATAAAATCATTACCTGCACAGTAATGGGAATTTCTGGTTACTCCATAAAACACATAATCAGATACCTTGCATTCCCATCTGATTCCAAAATGAATCAGGATGCTTTCTTTTTTTTTTTTTTTAGACGGAGTTTCGCTCTTGTTACTCAGGCTGGAGTGCAATGGCGCGATCTCGGCTCACCGCAACCTCCGCCTCCCAGGTTCAGGCAATTCTCCTGCCCCAGCCTCCTGAGTCGCTGGGATTACAGGCACGCGCCACCATGCCCAGCTAATGTTTTGTATTTTTAGTAGAGACGGGGTTTCACCATGTTGACCAGGATGGTCTCGATCTCTTGACCAGGATGGTCTCGATCTCTTGACCTCGTGATCCACCCGCCTCGGCCTCCCAAAGTGCTGGGATTACAGGCTTGAGCCACCGCGCCCGGCCCCAGGATGCTTTCTGTACGTCATTTTGTTTCATATACTGATAGTCGAATTCCAAAGCAACTTGATCCTGATTGTTCAATAATGAGAGTTAATTTACATCATGGGTTAGAAAGAACAAGACACAGGACCTCAGCTAAACTTTGGTTTCCTATTTGCTCAGTTATTCTGAGAAAACAATTTCAAATAACTCATTCAAGCAAGTTCTGTTCCTTATTAAACCAACACTTTCTCAGATGATCCCTTGTAGTCAAAACAACTCATCGTCAACTCCAAAACAACAGCTCTACACTTAGACAGACCTTTTCATCAATACCTTCAGGATTCTTTTTTGTTTTGTTTTGTTTTTGTTTTTAATAACTTCAGGATTCTAAAGGCACTAACTGCCAAACGCAGTGGCTCACGCCGGTTATCCTAGCACTTTGGGTGGCCGACATGGGGCAGATCACTTGAGGTCAGGAGTTCTAGACTAGCCTGGACAACATAGTGAAACCCTGTCTCTACCAAAAATACAAAAATTAGCTGGGCACATCTGTAATCCCAGCTACTTAGGAGGCTGAGGCAGGAGAACTGCTTGAATCTGGGAAAGGGAAGGTTACAGCAAGCCAAGATCATACCACTGCACTCCAGCCTGGGTGACAGAGGGAGACCCTGTCTCAAAAAAATAAACAAATAAAGGCACTAACCACCACCATTGTACATAATGGTATTTAATTTATAAAGTCCTTCAATAAGTTCTTTGATGCTTATTAACTCTGTAACATAAGCCAAGCAGGTGTTAACTCCAGGAAGCTGAGGTTTGAAGAGATAGCCTTGACCAAGGTTCTCACAAAGATTGGCTAAGGCATAACTGGAAGCCCCTGTCTTCTGACTACTAATTTAACTATCTTCCTGACTGATAAGTCAGCCCCAGTCTGACTTCGAAATTGATTATAGCTATTTTCTAAGGTGAGCTGCCAAATGAAAAACTTGGAGAAGAAAACTAGAAATAATCAGATCAAAATTGGTATGCGGCTGAGCCAGAAGGTGCCATCTCCTGCTAGAAGCCTGGGTAATGTGCTTATCAGGACATCAGAACACAAGAAAATCACCACCACATAGCTGTGGGAGACAAGACAGCCACAGCTGACTTTACTGTGTCAGATGCCATGTCAACAGAGCTCTTGCTCACTGTATCTTTTTATTCTTTATTTTTCAGAGACAGGGTCTCACTCTGTCACCCAGGCTGAAGTGCAGTGGTGTGATCTGCCCTAACTGCAACCTCCACCTCCCAGGCTCAAGTGATTCTCCCACCTCAGCCTCCTGAGTAGCTGGGACTACAGGCACACACCACTGCACCTGGCTAATTTTTGTATTCTTTGGTAGAGACATGGCAAAAGCCATGTTCCCCAGGCTGTTCTCAAACTCCTGGGCTCAAGTGATCTACAACCTCAGCCTCCCAAAGTGCTGGGATTACACGCATGAGCCACTGGGCCTGGTCCACTCACAATACCTTAAACTCACAGACCAAACTCCTAAGCCTTGACTGTTGTTTTACTACCTGCTCCATACAAAACAGCCTTTTGTAGCACTCACCTCCATACTAAAACATTCATTTAATGTAGTGTGACCTATGTGGATTCAATTACAAAAACTGGGGAAAAAAAGAGACTGGCTCTTTTATTCCAGTCTACCCAACTGACCTACCCATCAAAGAGCATATGAGGGCAGCCTGCAAGTGCCACGGGAACACAGCCATGCTTGCACTGGTCACCACCACATCCACAATGGCTGGCACAGCAGCACTCAAATATGGACTCAATGAAGATTGAGTGGAGAAGAGCAAGTCAATTACTTTTTTTTTTTTTTGAGACGGAGTTTTGCTCTTGTTGCCCAGGCTGGAGTACAATGGCGCCATCTTGACTAAGTGCAACCTCCACCTCCTGGGTGCAAGCAATTCTCCTGCCTTAGCCTCCCAACTAGCTGGGATTATAGGCGTGCACCAACACACCCAGCTAATCTTGTATTTTTAACACAGACAGGACTTCAATATGTTGGTCAGGCTGGTCTCAAACTACTGATCTCAAGTGATCCACCTGCCTCGGCCTCCCAAAGTCCTGGGATTACAGGCGTGAGCCACCTCACCTTGCACAATTTCAATCATATTTGGCCAACACTCAAGTCCCATAATCACTGGCACAGAAAACATTCTTAGAAGTAAATAGTTGCACCACCACCTTCAAGTAAACAACATTTTGTGGATGTACCTTGGAAAAGTTCCTTAATCTCTGGTGGTCTGTTTCCTCATCTGTGAGTAATCATAACTGCTGACCTCCAAGGTTGCAAAGATCAAATAACAAAACATAGATAAAAAACATCTGATGCTACACATGCAGTCCTACAGGGCATCTTCCTAGGCCTCATCAGACCCAGCACAATAGGTTCTCAATAAACATTTGGACAGATGGGTGACAAACATCACTGACAAAAGCCAAAGAAACTGAGCAAAAGGCTACCACATCCATCTACCTGTGAATACATGGCTGACAGATGTAAACTGAGGCCTCTACAGGTTACTAAAAGTCCACCCCGATGGGAAAGTCAACAGAAAATTCATCATGTTCTGGTATTTTAGAGGAAAAGAAAAAATGTTATTAAGGCCAGGTGCAGTGGCTGATGCCTATAATCCCAGCACTTTAGGAAGCCAAGGCAGGAGGATTACTTGTACCCTACCTAGAGTTAGAGGCCAGACCTGGCAACATAGGGAGACCCCATCTCTACAAAAATAAAGAAAAAAAAATAGGTGAAACCCCGTCTCTACTAAAAATACAAACATTAGCTGGGAATGGTGATGCACGCCTGTAGTCCCAGCTACTCAGGAGGCTGAGGCAGGAGAATCGCTTGAACCCAAGAGGCAGAGGTTGCAGTCAGATGAGATTGTGCCACTGCAATCTCAGCATTTTGGGAGGCTGAGGTGGATGGATCACCTAAAGTCAGGAGTTCGAGACCAGCCTGACCAACATGGAGAAACCCCATCTCTACTAAAAATACAAAATTAGCCGGGCGTGGTGGTACATGCCTATAATCCCAGCTACTCAGGAGGCTGAGGCTGGAGAATCACTTGAAGCCGGGAGGCAGAGGTTGAGGTGAGTCAAGATTGCGCCATTGCACTCCAGCCTGGGCAACAAGAATGAAACTCCTACTCAAAAACATACAAGAAAAGAAAAAAATAGCTGGGCATGATGGCACATGCTTGCTGTCCCAGCTACTCAGGAGGCTGAGGCTGAAGCAGGAGGATCTCTTGAGCCCAGGAGATGGAGGCTGCAATTAGCTGTGGTTGTACCACTGCACTCCAGTCTAGATGACAGAGCAAGACCCTGCCTCAAGGAAAAAAGTATCAAAACACATTGTTGTCACTTCTGCTTCCATTAGGATGGAATATTATACTCCTTCTACTACCCACAACTAAAACCCCTGGATCTTATATACAAACAAAAGTGAGAAGACTCTAAAAGGTAGAGAGAAGGCAGACTAGCAAGGGACCTCAGGACCTGAGGAACGGTGGTGACTTCCTTGGGCATTCTTTTTGCCTTGTTATCCCAGACTTGTAGCTGGAGAAGCAGCAACCCAAAAATGCCAGTGGGCAAAGACAAAAAAAAGCTCCAACCAACGTCAGCTTTCCCTAGTCAAAGGACTAAGAAAAGAGCAACCTAGTAAGTGAGAAATTGTTTATACAGTAACTGCCCTACTCCAGCCACAAACTGCAGGAAAGCCACAGCACATGTTTGCCCCACATTTCTATCACCTGAGCAAAGGCTGAGTAGTGAGCCTGTATTTCCTGGCTTGCCAGGCTATAATGAAGTACCCTAAACCCGATGGGGTGGTTTCACAGAAGGCCAAATACGGAGCTGGGACTTTCACCCTCACTCAGCAGTAAGGAGCAACTGCTAGAGTCAGTGGAAAGTGAAATCTTTACTTCTACCCCTAACTCAGCAGGAAAGAGGTGCTCTTCCCCTCTCCATTGCAGAGGTGTCAGAGGCAGCCTGGTGGAGTCAGGAATTTCACCACCACCCAGTGGGAATGAGGCTACTTTGGCATCAGTGGAGGACATGGAGGGAGCATTTCCACCCATGGATAACAAGGACCACCTTGGGTGGTCCACAGAGGCCCAATGAGGTACCTAGATTTCTACCTCTACCTAGCAGTAATAAGCCCCCACACCACCACTTTCGCTGCCAGAGTCCTGAGAAGCCAGCAAAATGAGAAGGCCTAAATGAGAACCAGAGTCTCACACACAATATCAAAAAGTTCAGATTTCAATCAGAAGCCCCTCACCGCACTAAAGGCCAGTGAAATCTCAGTATGAATGAAAAAGGACAAATAACAGATGCCAACACCAAGGTGACAGACATGCAGAAACTGTATAACAAAGATTTCAGAGCAGCCATCAGAAAAGTGCTACAAGTAGCAATTATGAGCATACTTGAAACAAATAAAAAACAGGAAGTCTAAACAAAGAAAGTATCGACAAAAAAAGAGAAGGTATAAAAAAAGGGCCAAGGCCAGGCATAGTGTCTCATGACTGTAATCCCAGGACTTTGTGAATCAAGGGAGGCAGAACACTTGAGGCAAGCAGTTTGAGAGCAGCCTGGCCGACATGGCAAAACCATGTTTCTACTAAAAATACAAAATCAACCTGTAATCCCAGGTTCTCAGGAGGCTGATGCACAAGGATCGCTTGAACCCAGGGGGGCGGAGGCTGTGGCAAGCCAATATCATACCACTGCACTCCAGCCTGGGCAACAGAGCAAGACTCTGTCTAAAAAAACAAAAAGCTCAGTTGTATATACTCAACAGCAGAATGGAAGTTATAGCAAAAATAATTAGATAGCTGGAAGACAGACAACAGAAATTAGCCAATTTGGACAATAGAGAGAAAAATGGCTGAGGCAGGGCATGGTGGCATGTGCCTATAGTCTCAGCTACTCTGAAGGCTAAGGTGGGAGGATCACTTGAGCCAGGCGTTCAAGGCCAGCTGGAATAACATAGTGAGACCCTCTAAAAAATAAAAATGAAAGACTAGAAAATAAAAATGAATAGAATCTCATGGACCTGTAACAAAAGATCAGCTGGTGTGATGGTTCATGCCTGTAAGCCCAGCACTTTGGGTGGCTGAGATGGGCAGATCACCTGAGGTCGTGAATTCAAGACCAGCCCAACCAACATGGAGAAACCTGTCTCTACTAAAAACACAAAATTAGCTGGGCGTGGTGGCACATGCCTGTGATCCCAGCTACTGGGGAGGCTGAGGCAGGAGAATCACTTGAACCCGGGAGGCAGAGGTTGTGGTGGGCCAAGATTGTGCCATTGCACTCCAGCCTGGGTGACAAGAGTGAAACTCTGTCTCAAAAACAAAACAAAAGATCTGACATTTATGTCATCAGAGTCCCAGAAAAAGAAGAGAAAGACAGTAGGACTAAAAAAGTACTCAAAAAGACAATGGCTAAAAACTTCCCAGATTGGTCAGAGACATAAACCCACAGCTTCAAGAAGTGCAGCAAACACCAAACAAGATAAACCCAAAGCAATCTCAAGACACATCATAATTAAACTTTTAAAAACTAAGGACAAAGAAAAAATCTTGAAAAACAATTCAGATGACAACTAACTTCTCATCAGAAACCACAGTGACCATAAGAAAGTGACACACATACTTTTCAGGTGCCGAGAGAAAACAACTGTTACTCCAGAATGCTATACCCAACAATAATATCCTTTAAGAATGAAAAGGAACTCTAGACATTCTCAAATGAAGGAAAATCAGCAAAACCAACAGAACTACATTTAATAGGGGCAAAAGGAAGTGCTCTAAACAGAAACAATAAACCTAACTCTGGAATATCAGGAAAGAAGAAGGAACCAAAAATACAAGTAACTACAATAAGCTTTACTTCATTTCTTGATTTTCTAAATTATGTTTGATGTTTGAAAGCAAAAATTCTGGCCGGGCTCAGTGGCTCACACCTGTAATCCCAGCACTTTGGGAGGCCAAGGCAGGTGGATCACCTGAGGTCAGGAGTTCAAGATCAGACTGGCCAACATGGTGAAACCCCATCTCTACTAAAAATACAAATATCAGCTGGGTGTGGTGGCATGTGCCTGTAGTCCTAGCTACCTGGGAGGCTGAGGCAGGAGAATTGCTTGAACCTGGGAGGCACAGGTTAAAGTGAGCTAAGATCACTCCACTGCCCTCCAGCCTAGTGACAGAGTGAGACACTGTCTCAAAAAAAAAAAAAAACAAAAAACAAAAATTCCAACAGGCTGACACTGCTATTGCTATAAGTGTATGTATAGGAAATATTTAAAACAAATATATTAAAAATAGGGAGAGTAAAGAGACACAAAGAGAAAGAGGTATAGCTTTTATATTTCATTCAAACTGATAAAATGACACCAGTATATTGTAATATGTTTTGTATATGTAATGAAATACTTAGAACAACCATTAAAACAGCCAATAATGAGATACTCAAAACACTATAGAGGGCTGGGCGTGGTGGCTTACACCTGTAATCCCAGCTACTTGGGAGGCTGAGACAGGAGAACTGCTTGAACCCAGGAGGAAGAAGCTGCAGTGAGCTGAGATGGCGCCATTGCACTGCAGCCTGGGTGACAAGAGTGAAACTCTGTCTCAAAACAAACAAAAACCACTATAGAGAAGAAGCACTTTAGAATGTCAGAATAATGGATGACCAAAAATCTGCTCCTCCATAAAAGAAAAACTCTAAAAAATTTTGGAAAAATTAACCTTTACATAACTGTGGAAGTTAACTAACAGCTTGCAACAATTTGAGGAATGTTTAAGAAAAACAGCTGAATCTTGTTAAAGAGCAAACTCTGGGCCAGACATGGTGGGTCACAATTATTATCCCAACACTTTGGGAGGCTGAGATGGCCAGATCACTTTGGGGCCAGGAGTTGGAGACCAGTCTGGGCAATATAGTGAGACTCTCATCTCTACAATAAAAACACAAAAATTAGCCAGGCATGGTGGTGCATGCCTGTGGTTTCAGCTATTTGGGAGGCTAAGGTGGGAGGACCACCTGAGCCCGGGAAGCTGAGGGTGCAGTGAGCCATAATCACGCCACTGCACTCCAGTCTGGGTATCAGAGTGAGATCCTGTCACACACACACACACACAAAGGAAACTGTGTATTTTAACTTGCCCTATTCCCATGCCTCTCTCTCCAGTTCTGCCATAGACAAAAATGGAATGCTCATAACCATGGTAGCTGTGAGAAACAGAAGCCTACCAACCACTGGTGGGAAAAGAATGAGTTTGGAGCCTCTCAAGAAGCCCATTCTCAGATAACCATCACTATTATGCCTATGTGGCAGCTCGCTGAGACTCAGGGCTAGAGAATATGACCTGTCTCAGAGCTCACTCTGTGTGAACGGTCCTATCCCCAGAGTAGATGGACAATCAACAGCAACTGTTTACACTGCAGCTGCCTGAAATGACAGAACCAGTTGAGTAAAACAAGAGGCTAGACAAAAAAAAAAAAAAAAAAAAAAGAGAAAAATCTGGGGGATTAGATGGCCATATGGGCCTTGAAAAGCTTATTACTGCATGTGAAGAACATGCGCTTACCCAGGAAGGACCTGAAAAGTTCCTAACCTTGAACCTTGGCTGACCTTAGGGCACTGTGCAACCAGGAAGTAAAGGCTAAGGCAGAGTTGTAAGCTGCTGGGAGAATTGAAGACATATACAAACATGCACACACAGATCCTTGAAGAGGGTGGGAAATTTATTAGTTCAAGCCATTTCAGGAAATCTCTGTCCAATCATTAGCTGGCCAGTAAGCTAACCAAGCAGAGACTTCAGTGGCTGAATGCTACAAAGAATACAGACTTTACAGAATTGGCACAGGATAGCCACTAAGCTAACATATCACAGAAACAACAAACCCTGGGAATTGATGGAGGTAGAAGCTGATGCTCAGATTTTTCACATTACATAATTTTAAAATGTTGTTTTTAACTAAAATTTACAAGGCATGCAAACAAAAAGGAAAACATGGGCCAGGTATGATGGCTCACGCCTGTAATTCTAGAACTTTGGGAGGCCAAGGCAGGAGGATTGCTTGAGGCCAGGAGTTTGTCACTGGCCCAGAAACATAGCAAGATCCTGTTTCTGTATTTTTTTTTTAAGTAAGAAGTTTTGGCCAGGCACGGTAGCTGCCATCGGTAACCCCAGCACTTTGGGAAGGAGGCCAAGACGGGTGGATCACCTAAAGTCAGGAGTTTGAGACCAGCCCGGCCAACATGGTAAAATCCCGTCTCTACTAAAAATACAAATAATTTATTTGTGGTGGCACATTCCTGTAATCCCAGCTACTCGGGAGGCTGAGGCAGGAGAATCACTGGAACCCAGGAGGCAGAGGTTGCAGTGAGCTGAGATCACACCACTGCACTCCAGCCTGGGCAACACAGTGAGACTCCATCATAAATTAAAATTAAATTAAAATAAGGTAAGAAGTTTTTTTTTTTTTTTTAATTTAAAAAAAGAAAAACATGGCCCATACACAGGAAAAAAGCAGTGATCTCTGAAAAAGCCCAATGTCAGAATAACTAGACAGAATAAATCAGCTATCATAAATATGTTCACAGAACTAAAGAAAATAATGTCTAAAAAAATAAAAAATACCCAAAGAAACATTTATTTAGGTATAAATATAACAAAATATGGGCTGGATGTGATGGCTCACGCCTGCAATCCCAATACTGGGAGACTGAGCCCAGGGATACGAGACCAGCCTAGACAACAGTCAGAACCCCATCCCTACGCCGCAAAAAAAAAATATAATAAAAAAACAAAAATTTTTTAAATTAGCCAGGCATGGTGGTGCACACCTAGAGTCCTAGCTACTTAGGAGGCTGAAATGAAAGAATTGCATGAGCCCAGGAATTCAGGGCTATAGTGAGTTGTAATGGCACCAGTGCACTACAGCCTGGGTAAACAGAGCAAGACTTTGTTTCTTAAAAAAAAAAAAAAGTACAAGTCTACATGAGGAAAACTTCTCTGAAGACAGAAATCAAAGAAGAATTTTTTAAATATCGTAACCCAGGTCAGGCACGACGGCTCACGCCTGTAATCCCTGCACTTTGGGAGGCCGAGGCAGGTAGATCACCGGAGGTCAGGAGTTCAAGACCAGCCTGGTAAACATGATGAAACCCCATTTCTACAAAAAATACAAAAAATTAGTTGGGCATGGTGCTATGGGCCTGTAATCCCAGCTACGCAGGAGGCTGAGGCAGGAGAATCGCTTGAACCCATGAGGTGGAAGTTGCAGTGAGCTGAGATTATGCTACTGTACTCCAGCCTGGACAACAGGAGCAAAAACTCCATCTCAAAAAACAACAACAACAAAAAGATATCCCATGTTTATGGATACGAAGACTCAATATTGTCAAGATGTCAGTTCTCCCAATTTGATCCACAGATTCAATGCAAACCCCAATCTAAATCCCAACAAGTTATTCTGTGGATTTCAAAAACTGATTCTGAGGCTTATATGAAGAGGCAAAAGGCCCAGAATAGCCAACACAATCTTGAAGAACAAAGTTAGAAAGAGTGACAATACCCAACTTTAAGACTATTAAGGCTCAGTGGAGTGGCTCATGCCTGTAATCCCAGCACTTTGGGATGCTGAGGCAGGTGAATCACGAAGTTAGAAGTACAAGACCAGCCTGGCCAAGATGGTGAAACCCTGTCTCTACTAAAAATACAAAAATTGGGCCAGGCGCAGTAGCTCACACCTGTAATCCCAGCACTTTGGGAAGCCGTGGCAGGCAGATCATGAGGTCAAGAGATTGAGACCATCCTGGCCAACATGGTGAAACATCGTCTCTACTAGAAAATACAAAAATTAAGCCGGGCGCGGTGGCTCAAGCCTGTAATCCCAGCACTTTGGGAGGCCGAGGCGGGTGGATCACGAGGTCAAGAGATCGAGACCATCCTGGTCAACATGGTGAAACCCCGTCTCTACTAAAAATACAAAAAATTAGCTGGGCATGGTGGCGTGTGCCTGTAATCCCAGCTACTCAGGAGGCTGAGGCAGGAGAATTGCCTGAACCCAGGAGACGGAGGTTGCGGTGAGCCGAGATCGCGCCATTGCACTCCAGCCTGGGTAACAAGAGCGAAACTCCATCTCAAAAAAAAAAAAAAAAA